GGATTTCTTCCTTATTTATATAATTAAATGTACTTTTCCAATCACTGAAACTACCATATGTTGCATTTATTTGGGTTAATATATTTTTTATTTTAAAGGCAGTAACTCAAAAAAATTGCTAACTTTTGTAAACAACAATATTATTTCATTGTCAGGCCGTAAACTGAAATTCTCCAGCTGACTAACCAGAGCACCAATCATTGCACTCCCCCTAAGGAGGTTAGCTGGACCTGTGCAGACACCCTTCAATCAAGCGTTTGTCAGCCTTTACTATAATGGAGGATTATCAGCAGCAGCAGCAAAGGAGAAGGGCCCAGGCGACAGCAGGTGTGGAGCCATGCCGTGGGGAGGACTGTGATTACCATGCCAAACAGCAGTGCCAGCGTCTCGAAATCAATCCACTCCACCACCAGGTTCAGGCTGGGTCTCTACAATCAAAGCACAAATTTGCCAGTTAATCCTGTGCATCACCCTCCTGGTGATAAGGTCTAAAAATGCACTGCCCTTTACTGCAAACTCACTCATCGGCCAAGAGGTGGAAATCACACCATCCACTTGCCTTTGAAATTGGATTATATAATTGCTGAAAACCACTCATGGCCAACAAGCCTGTACAGTAATAAAAACATTTTTTTTTCAAACCCTGTCCCTGGCAACTCCATGAAGAACTGAAGCCTGGATTGCAGGCCTGGCCCTTGAGGCTACATTCTTAGTGGAGTCCACATACATCTTCCGTAATGTGGATAGCTTCCCATCCTAGTCTCCATGTGCCCCCCACTCACAGGGGGCCGTGGGGAATGGGGAGTGTCACGTGTGAGACGAGGACACTGCCAGGGTCTGGCTGTGGTGAAAGTGCCACACAGCGGGTGGCCCGTGGCTTCCCACAGCACATGCCTGACTTGCACATTAGTGATCTTCAGAACAAAAGAGACGACTACTACACTGCTCCTAATGATTAATAACCATAACAGTGGTTTTACATCGAAGTTTTATGGTTCTAGAACATTTTACCTTTATGGTTATCATTTGTTTATACCAACTGTAGCCAAGAAAAAGTTCAGGGCTCACAAGTTGGCTCAGTTAGTTAGAGTACGGTGCTGACAACACCAAGGTCTGGGGTTCGATCTGTACCCAGCCAGAAAAAAAAAAGTTTAAGTTTGATCTGTACCCAGCCAGAAAAAAAAAAAGTTTAAGTTCGATCTGTACCCAGCCAAAAAAAAAAAAAGTTTAAGTTCTTAATACTGCTTTGAGGCTGGGCCTCCATTCAAAATTTAAATT